GAGGTGCACGTGCCCTTGTTCCCCCGGTACCAGCCGCGCCTGATTTATTCATCGACGGAGCTATTGATTTCATCTAGTCAGCATGGTTTTGTGCAAGAAAAATCGACCATTACAAGTTTAGCTGTATTTTCCCAATATACCGGGTGTTTGGAAAATGGCGGACGTTATGTACGGGGGTCTTGGGAATTCCAAAAAAAATTCTTTATGATGTGAATTACGAAAAAAACGTAATTTTATAAATGTAAAATTGGCAACAATGTACGCACCTAATGTGAGAATACCTTCGGCTTACCTTCTGATTTCTTAGTAACGATGGTGACTGAATTCCACCTTTTATTTTATATAATTTTGATCATTTTTTGTAAAAGTTAGTAATCAATACTTTCTAAGGTAAAACTGATTTTGGCAAATCACATACCCTCTAAGAAAAGAGAGGGTGGGTGGGCGGGGCTAGTAGCTGCTACGATAAGACTAATTTTGGCAAATGAGATATCCTATAAGAAAAGAGAGGGCGGGTGGGCGGGACTGGTAGCTGTTATGATAACACTGATTTTAGCAAATGACTCAACTGACGTATCCTAAGAAATTTAATTAAATTATTATAAGAAAAGACACTAGAGGCTCCAAAACACTTTCAAATTCTTTCCAAACAGGAATACCTAGAACCTTAAGTTTGTTTTAAATGTTTCAAAAAAAAAATGGGGTCACAAAATTGACTCAAAAACAGGTCAGGTCAGAACTTTTCAAAAATAGAACAGCAAAGTCCCCCAAAATTCTACTAAACAATTTACAAAAAAAATCTCCATGCTCCCAAACATTGCGGCACTCAAGGCTTTTTCAAAATCGTAAAGAATAAAACACAAAAAGGTCAAAAGGTTTTTTCAGGTTCATCCAGCAACAAAACACCAGATTTTTTAAAATTAGGTTAATGACCTAAAATTAACTGCGAATATTTTAAACGTAGGGTTTTGAAAACTCTCATTTGTGCAAGTAACAAAGAAACATTTTTTTGAAACACTAGCACAATAAAAGTTACTTTGCTGTGCTCAGTAATATTTGGTTATATTATTACAGTTAAGAAACTATGACAAAATTTTTAATATTTTTTTTAAATGCGACGTGATAAAAAACCATAAAATAAAATGATGAAAATTCAAAAAATTCGATTTACTATTAAATTTTAATATTCAGAATCGCTAGAACGTACGGAAACGCTTGAATATCTTGAAAACCAATTGTCCAAATCAACTGAAATTAGGTATACGGGTACAAGAAGTTGTATTCGTAATTATTCTTCTTGCTTCATTTGTTTTCGAGATGCAAGGGCAAGTTAATTTTGATGTTCTGTTTTTGGAAAATTCTGCCCTGACCTCTTTTTGAGTTGATTTTGGGATCCCTTTTTTATGAAAATTTAAAACAATGTTGAGGTTCCAGGTATTCATGTTTGGAAAGAATTTGAAGGAGCTTTGGAGCCTCTAGTGTCTTTTCTTATAATAATATAAGTGAATTTCTTAGAGGATACCTCATTTGCTAGAATCACTTTTATCTTAGTAGCTACTAGCCCGACCTGCCCGTCCTCTACTTTCTTAGAGAATATGTGATTTGCCAAAATAAGTCTTAACAGGTACTAGCCCCGTCCACCTGCCCTTTTTTTTCTTAGAAGGTATGTAATTTGCCAAAATCTGTCTTATTTTAGCACCTACTAGCCCCGGCCACCCACCTTATCTTTTCTTAGAAGGTATGCCATTTGCGAAAATCTGTCTTATCTTAGCAAGTACTGATAACTTTTATAAAAAAATTGGTCTAAAGAGTTTAGACAGTACTTCCCTCGCTGTCGGAAACTTGACGACTGCATGCCTATTGTGTTTTTTTCTCATTACATTTTTGTAGTGGGAATTTAAAAAAAAATTGCGATGACGTCATCAACATTTTTGCAAGGACACGTATATCAGTTGGGATAGATGTAGTGTAATACTAAGAATAAAATTATTGTATTCCCAAATTTTCGGGAAAATGAATTGGGTCGTTTTGAATATTGATTTTTTATAATCAATAAAATAACGAAACAATTTACTCACGTATACGGCAACTGAAAATCGTGTATGTATAAACATTATTAATTTAAGATGACAGGCGTAACAGCATACGTGAGAGTCAAACAGAGAAACTATAAACAAAACGACCATCGGTTTTATTGCTTCGACTTCCGCTTATTATATAAAACATTGGGTTTTATTTTAATTCTTGACGGTGAAATTCACAATTGGTTGATTATAAACATGTCTATTTCACATTCGCGGAACCAAGTGAACACATAAAACAAATGCAGGTCTGTAATGTTAAAGTCGATGTAAATAAGCGTGCTACCCTTATGTTTCAACCGAGTTTTTCCTTTAACAAATTTTGTGTCTACCAAATTGGGTTGGTTGGGGTGTAATACTAATAATAAGTGTTGCCTTTAATTTAATCAATAAAATAAATTGACTTCATTAATTTTTTAGAACCACCTCTTAAGAAAATCTAAAAAATATGAATGGAATGATAAATCACAAGTACAAACTCATCATATTTTTTGCATTTTAGATAGGATTTATTCAGCAAAATTTAAGGGTGACGTCATCAATTTTTTTAGGAGGGATGAACAAATACATTTTGAACAAAAGTTTACCATGCTTATAATAACTTTAAAATATTCCCAAGATTTCAAAGCATTCGGTTTTGTAATTCCTGATTAAATTGATAAAATAAATTCACGCCTTCATTAATTTTTTTGAGTCACCCTGCATATGCAAATCCAAAAATATGAATGGAATGATAAATCACAAGTACAGACTCATCATATTTTGTACATTTTAGATACGATTTATTCGGCAAACTTTTGAGCTGACGTCATCAGTTTATTGTAGAAGATAACCAAATATATTTTGACTAAAAATTTATTATGCTCTTTATAACCTTAAAACATCTGCAAGATTTCAAAGCATTCGGTTTTGTAGTTCCTGATTAAATCAAGAAAATAAATTTACGCATTCATTAATTTTTTTGAGTCACCCTGTATATGCAAATCGAAAAAATTTGAATGGAATGATAAATCACAAGAAGAGACTCACAATATTTTGTACATTTTAGATAGGATTTATTCAGCAAAATTTTGTGGTGACGTTATAAATTTTTTAGGGGGGACGACCAAATACGTTTTGATCAAAAATTTACCATGCTTATGATAATTTTAAAATATCTTCAAGATTTCGAAGCATTCGGTTTTGTAGTTCCTGAGTAAATCAGTAAAATAAATTTACGCTTTCATTTATTTTCTTGAATCACCCTGTATATGCAAATCCAAAAAATATGAATGGAGTGATAGATCACAAGTACAGACTGATCATATTTTGTACATTTTAGATATGATTTATTCGGCAAATTTTCGAGCTGACGTCATCAAGTTTTTGGAGGGGATAAGCAAATATATTTTGACTAAACATTTATTATGCTCTTTATAACCTTAAAGCATCTGCAAGATGTCAGAGCATTCCGTTTTGTAGTTCCTGATTAAATCAATAAAATATATTTACGCATTCATTAATTTTTTTGAGTCACTCTGTATATGCAAATCCAAAAAATATGAATGGAGTGATAAATGACAAGTACAGGCTCATCATATTTTGTACATTTTAGATATGATTTATTCGGCAAACTTTCGAGCTGACGTCATCAAGTTTTTGGAGGGGATAAGCAAATATATTTTGACTAAACATTTATTATGCTCTTTATGACCTTAAAACATCTGCAAGATTTCAGAGCATTCGGTTTTGTAGTTCCTGATTAAATCAATAAAATATATTTACGCATTCATTAATTTTTTTGAGTCACCCTGTATATGCAAATCCAAAAAATATGAATGGAGTGATAAATTACAAGTACAGACTCATAATATTTTTACAGTTTGGATAGGATTTATTCGGCAAACTTTCGAGCTGACGTCATCAATTTTTTGGAGGGGATAAGCAAATATATTTTGACTAAACATTTATTATGCTCTTTATAACCTTAAAACATCTGCAAGATTTCAAAGCATTCGGTTTTGTAGTTTCTGAGTAAATCAGTAAAATAAATTTACGCATTCATTAATTTTTTTGGAGATTATCTGTCTAATAAAAATCCGGGACGGCAGACGGACAGACGGACGGACAGACGGACAGACGGACAGACGGACAGACGGACAGACGGACAGACGGACAGACGGACAGACAGACGGAAATGGGAGACCTATTTCTTCGTCTTCTAGAGGTCATGAAAGATCGAGAAAACGTAAAAGTAGAGAGTCGGCCGACGGACTCGATTACAATACTTCCTTTGCTTACGCTCGGGAAGTAAAAATTTGAAGATCTTGTCTAGTGTTTAGTTGGTTATGCTTTGAAGGATTTTTCTTTTATTGGTTTTGTTTTTGTTTATAATGTATAAGTGTCTTATTAAGTAAATGTTTTTTTTTGGTTTATTTATTAATGAAAAAGAACAGATTTTTGTATTAATAATAATGCAAAACAAATAATGACCACTCGTTGTTATGGTTATTGTCTTAAAAAAAACAAAATGTGGATTTCAGTCACCATCGTTGCTAAGAAATCAGAAAATAAGCCAAAGGTATTCATGCATTAGGAGCGTGCAGTGTTGCCAATTTTACTTTTATAAAATTACGTTTTTTCATAATCTACATCATAAGGAATTTTTAAATTTTTTTTTAGGGCCCCCGAAACCCCGTAACATAACATACTGAAGAGTTTCTTTTTATATTAACTCTGCTAGAACTAATGCTCTAGATAAATCTTCAATTAATTTCATGTGCGAATTACTTAATTTTGTTTCTAATAATAATAACTGTGATATTCATAATAATTCATTAATTTTGATATCTGCTAACTTGCTAAACATTGTAGAATAGTTAGTATTATATGTTTAAGACGTACTCTTATTATGTTTAAGATTACTTAATCTTTTGTCAATTTTCTAGTTATTTTTTGTAGGAGTTTATTTTTATTTTATTTGATTTCTGTAATTGGGATTTCTACCTGTTGGAATCAATAAATATTATTATTATTATTATTATTATAGAATTACCTCTTGGTAGAAGATAAAGGAATTTGGAGAAGAAAGTCATCCCACACTTTGTATGGAATAAACTTATCAAAAAGGTGGAATGATGACACAAATAAACTTTATCTTTTATCGATACAAACGGTTAAGTAATAAAATTCTCTCACTAATCCCCTCACTATCAGCAAGTACATTTATTGTACACCAGCACTTCATAATTGTGGATTTCCCGCGATTCCTGCCAATGGTTCTCCGGGTACATCAAATACGCATTTCGAGGTATAAAACTGTTGATTTTTCCAACCAACACCCCACCTTCGTGCTTAATTCTCCCAATGTGAATAGGTCCACAGTCGTCTTCGTGTCCACCTATGATCCCGTGTCTACCTCTTAGCGTCTCAAATAAATCCCGTGCCGTCGCTGGAACCCAACTAAAATCGGGCTGCTTTCCACAAAGAATCTAAAAATAAAAATAAAAGTGTCGGAGTCGTAATACGGTTCATTTTCGTGGTTACTCTAATGTGGTTGTGGACTTTATGCACTCCTCTGACAGCTACATAGAATTCTCTTTCACCAGGTGTTATGTGTATCACAATTAAACCTAAATTTCTTATGTAGGCTTGCCCTATGAAAACGTTTCGGTGCTGACCGTCTTGACCCGCTACTAGGGCATCGTGGGGTATCGTGCCGTTATAGTCGCGCCAGTAGTAATCTAGTACGTTGGATTTGTTAATTCTAGTACAACGCAAACACAATAAACTTACCTAACATTGCTGGTTAGTTGTGGTTATCGCGATAATCTGGATCTAGAATGCGATACTTGGATATTGACAGCTGTTACGTTTTATCTTGGTGGGAGCTTAGGATGCGCACTAGCATTTAACCGTTAGTAGTGTCAAGATGAGTCACAGATATGCCTTACGGGTAAATCCAATTGACTCAGTATTTCTGGGAATCCTATGAGTTGTAGAGAAAAATTGAAAACAATCGCAAGCTTGTTTGTTTATTTGCGTCTCTGATTGGTTAATTGGAGTCCCGTGCTGAGCACGCCAAGGCATTTTGACAACACTGTACTATCAATAAATAGGTGTATTAAAGATTTAAATATTTATTTGCCACACCCAAAATACCTAGTTTTATAAAACAAAAACAATTGGTTAAATAACGCAAGAACTAACATTTTAATTACAAGAATGAAGCAGTTTAAGCTTATAAAATATAACTTTTGTAGAGCAGGAAATTTCCATTTTCCACATATCCGCACATTTGGTTATTTTATCCCGTGAAACTTTGCATATAGCAAGACTGATACTCATTCTGCAGCGTCAGATAAGTGTAGTTTATGTTAATGATTATATGCATGCTTTTAAAAGTTAAAGTTAGAGATGGCCGGGATAGAACGGGGAAGTAGGGGAAAATTGGATTCGCCATGTGCAACAGTAATTATTACTAGTAGCCTCTGGTGGCGCATCCTGCACTTGCAAGGATTTCGCTCCAGGACATTCCCGAACAGACTAAACTGCGTTTTTTATTCTAGTAATCAGAACTAGCAACACTAAAATGACTTCAGCTGAAGCTGGGGACGTATTCACAATTATTTGTGGTCGTGGCGTTCAGCCGTTACGCGCTGGGTCATCAGTTTTACTAATTAGCCAGTAGAGACGCATTTTTATTCGTCGGAAATAAATATCGAAATGATTGAATAAATTTTGTTGCTCGGTAAGCCGTGAAACGGTGCAGATTTTCGTAGGCGGCCACGACCGAACCGTAGAAAATAAACTCGCCTTCTTGATTAATTAAATTCGTTTTATGTTAAAGTGGACATCATATGGCGTTGACAGCAAGGTAGGTTTTCGTCAAGTTTGTCGACAGGCTTTGCCATGGGCATTCATCTCAGTTCTGTGAGTCCCGTGTCCTCCGGCTTTCTATTCTCTCACCCCTCGACTAATTAGGATAAGAAAGGCTGTCTTCTTACACCGCTGTCACTCACCACTTCACAAAGGGATCATAAGCAGCGACGAGAGCGAATTAATTACCGACCGAGTCCTTTTGGAGGCGGACATCCTCTTTCTGCAGCAGATAACTTTTGAACCGGATCTTATCAAAAAATGTTAATAACAGATAGGGCCGGCGAATCAACAAAAGCGAAAAACGTGGACGTGAAAAGTGAAATCATTTATTATTGCGATTAAAAAAAATTGTTATTAATAACCGCGGACGGGGTGACAAATTTTATTTGTAAAATGGCATTATCGGGGCGCCGGGAAGGGGTTGCTAAGTGTGTTAAGATCGTTAAAAGTAAGTGAAATTTTTGGATGGAAGTTTGCGAAATCGCCGGGAAGCGTAATGGCAACTGGTGAGGAACAACTGGATGCAAAGCCTGATTTACGTTTTTCCTGCGACAGATTTTAATGTTATTTCGAGTCACAAATTGTTTAAATTGCGTCGTGACTCAGGGAGACGACACTAACTGGCGCTCATTAGAATGAGCCGGGATTCACCTTATATTTATTCATATTATTGAAATGAATCTGGAGAATCTGGACTCTAACTTATCCGATAGAATGCCTGCAGTGTAATTTACTCAAAAGTCTCATTACAAACTTGGTATCCTCGGGCTCTCCTGAAAAGTTACATCTGCATAGTAATCCACGTTATAATAAATTTATAAATACGGGATCGTCTGAAAAATAGTATTAATAGGATGAAATAGCGCGCCTTAATTTCATTCGTTGGGATTGTGGGAGCAAAATAAAGGAAACACGTGTATAAGGGAACAACCCGAAAAATCATAATTTCAGTTTGTGCGCAAGAAAATGACAACTTTTATTTACATCAAGGGAAATTCGAGAAAGATTTCCTCGGAGTAGACGAGACCAATTGTTTGCGAATTCTTACGAAACTCGGCTTAATACATTTAGGAAATAAATAACAGGCCCGTATACACAGAAAACAGGAAGGTGCTGATTATTTATGATACATTTTTCTCTAATTTACATTTTTCTTGGCTTAAAATGTAAGTAAGTACCATTAAATTTTATTAACGATCACATTTTTCTTTCGTAGATCAAGATGAAATTTTAAGCAGCCCAAATTTAAGCAAACATAAATCCACCGCCGCCGTACACTATTCCACTCTACGCGTTATTACTAGTTTGGGTTGCCAAATCTCTGCGCATCTACTAGATCAAATTATCCCCACCACCTAGTTTATCTAAATGGAGATACCTACCACGAAAACGTCATTTGAAACCTTTCGATGACAAATTGCATACTGTATGCATATTTAGCATATTTTGCTATTTTTATATATTTTTCGCAGCATTGTCCAAGAAAAATAAATAAATTTACTACAGGGCAAAAGTAATAAACATTAAAATTTAATATAACAAGAAAGGTTTGTTAAGCTTTGGTATATGCAAATATACCCCTATAGAAAGTCCAGGACCTATGATTTAAACATTTTTTGGAAAAATATACAACAATCTGTGCCTGATGAGAGCATTCGAAAAAAATTTCGTTCCCAATATTTACGAAAATACCTTAAATAATATTAAGCAGATTATTATTGGTGAACACTGTATATATTTTGTTGTGGACGAAACCACGTATACTTGTGGGCGTTACATTGTAAATTTATTAATAGGACGCTTGAATAAAAATGAGCCTAATCGATCCAAACAATTTGCCCTAATCTGGTCCGCGTTAGTCCATATTAGGCAAGAGTTTCCTCAGGTAAATTCTTTAATTAGTACCTTCAAAAAAATGTTTTAAAGTGTTTCTTAAGAGTTCAGTTATATCGTGAAAAATTATCCCACATACCCTCATTTTAAATTCATTTTGTTTTTTATATCACTTTGTAGGCGCATTTTTGTTAATTGCGTTTTTTGTAGACTTTTTTGGGTTTTTCTGCGTTTTTTGTTCCTTTTATGGTCCTTTTTGTGGTCTATTGTTGTTGTTTTGTAGAATTCTTGTAATTATTTTTTGTATTGTTTTTGTTCTCTTTCTTTTATTGCATTTTTTGCTACTTTCTTTGCCACTCTTTTAGTCGTTTTTTTTTGGGATTGTTTTGACTGAATTTTTTAGTCACTTTTGCGGGGCCTTTTTTTTCGCATTTTTTTCTAATGCAATTTTTTGTCCTCCGTTTTCTCATTTTTTTGTCGTGGTTTTTTGTGGACTTCTGAAACTTTTTTGTGACTTTTATTTTGTCACTTTTTGTAGTCCGGTTTTTTATTGCATTTTTTTTTTCGTAGACCTTTTTTGCTGCATTTTTTTGGTCCCTTTTTGTGAAATATTTGTAAAGTTTTTTTTCTTTCTTTTGGCGTTTTTTTGTGACTTTTTGGTTTTGGCGACCCCCTTCTTTCAGTCGAATTTTTCTGTGATATTTTTGGCTCTTTTTTTAAATTTGTCGTGACATTTTTCTGATTTTTTGTCCCCGTTTTCGCATTTTTTTGTGACGTCTTTTATGTGAATTTTTTGATCTTTTTTATTCTTTAACTTACATTGTCGCTTTTTGTAGCCGTTTTTTATTGTTTTTTAGTCACTTTTTGTTTTTTATTGCATTTTTCCGTGGACTTTTTTTTGCGTTTTTTGTTCTCTTTTGTCACCTCTTTTTGTGCCATGTTCTGTATTTTTTTATTCTGGGTTTTTTAGTTTTTTTGACTTAGCTGACGCTTTTTTGCAACGTTTTTCTTCTCTTTTTGCAATATTTTTTTACTTCGTTCTTTTAAACGCATTTTTTCTCCGTGTTACTTCCCGAGCGTAAGCGAAGGAAGTATTGTAATCGAGTCCATCGGACGAATGGCCACTTTTATGTTTTCTCGACGTTTCATGACCCCTACAGTATAAAAAAGTAGTCTCTCGTTTCCGTCTGTTTGTCTGTCTGTCTGTATCCATTTTTATTAGACACGTAATCTCCGAAACTACTGGACCGATTGTTGTGACATTTTGTATGTATATTGGACATATAATGCAGATGGTTAAATGCTAACCAAAACTTGGCTAATCATCCCCACCAACAATACAAATGACGTCATTTCAATGAATTGTTTTCTAAAATGATTTGAATGTTACACAAAAATGTATTCATATACCTGTAGTTTACGAACCCGCTTTCACTTTTTTCGCTAAACGTTCAAATTTTCGCAAAAACGTTTACAAGGTATAATAACGTGTTATTCCCGACACGGTTTGTACGTCTTCGTGGTGCAGGGGGGTATTTGAGATAATGGCGACCTGCGGTACTTGGCCCTTTCCCTTTTTTTTTCTTGCATTTTAGAACGCTGTGACTAAAATTATCCATGTTGATGACGTTGTCACAAATTTTTTATTGTGGTTTAACTATTAATTCTAGTCCTCTTTTGAGAAGACAAACTCATTCAAATCTAACTAACTTCTACGTGACATTCTTTCGATGCATAAACATAAATAAACACTTGAGCGTCAGATTGCTATTACCTAGTGCTGAAAGACAAGGGGTGTTATTTATGCCTCTGGTTTTTACTTTACAGCGGATATCATAAAACGAAAATCATAAAATCAAATTTCATATATTTTTTTAAAGAGCTGGATTTGTCGGATTATACTTACAGCATTTGATCAATTTTTTATTGATCAAATTAAGAACCTCATTTTCTAGAAAATTTGAGAATACCCATATTATTATGATCAAATAAGAATAATGATATTCATATTCAAAACATTTTGATCCATTCTCATTTAATTAATAATTCTAGTCCTCTGTTTTGAGGAGACAACTCGATCAAATTAAACAAATTTCTACGTGACATTCTTTCGATGTGTAAACATAAACAATCGAAGTTAAGCATGTACACTGATAATAATACACTCTTTTCCGTTGGTTATTTGCTTTGA